GGGGGGAGAGAGGGGAGAGTAAGAGTAAGAGAAGGAACACTAGAGGGTATTGATATTTATGGGCTTAACACAGGATAAGGAGGAGCAAGGCGGGTGGGCTGTTACTTCTTCATTGGCTGAGAGTCGCCACTTCAGGGATTGGAGGTGCGCCATTCACAGGGATTGGTTGTGACAGTTTGAGCACCATTCAGTGCGTCATGGACCTGAGCTCCCCGAAGAGAAGCACTCCTGGCGCCATCTTTACCAACATCTTGAACAACATCTGACATTATTTGGCCTTCACATAGGTTGGGCATCTCATTTATATATTTATTCCCATTAATCTAACATTATTGAAGCACTCCTCTTGAAGCCAATGGGACCAAAAGTAAAAATACAAATACAGATAACTGAAACCAAATGTCAGTACTTGATTATAAGACAATTCATAAAGTGCTTACATTAAAATTTCTAGGTCACTGAACCTAGAACACAAAATTTCAAAATCTTTCTGGAGGCTCCTGTCCTGAAGGTTTATACCTGTTGACCTACATTTCAGGCAAATTATACCTACCTGGTGGATGGCTGTTGCTCCTGGCCCAGCTAGCCCTTTCTATTGTTTCTCCTCTCAGTCTTTGAAGGAAGAAAACTTGAGCCTAAAACGGGTAATGACCATAGTGGGTACAGGGACTGATGAGTCTCTGATGATTTCCAAATACTTTCTTTYTTTCTTTTTTCTTTTTTTAGAATCATCCTTTCTTCCTTCACATATTTCCACCTTTTCTTACCAAAGAAAGGGAAACTTCTTCAATGATTAACAATGATGTGTGATTTTTGTTTTACCCACAATACCCAGTACAGTGACAGCTTCCAATGAAGAGTTGATTAAGTCTTTTTTCAATTTGTACATATTCAAGGATTTAGTATTATTTGACAAAAAGAAAAAGAAAAAAAAAGAAGAGACTTGTAAAACAATTGTCACCATAGAGAAGGACAGCTGAATACATTAAGAAGGCCTGACTTCCTTCTTGGTGTATAAAAGTAGGRCTAGCAAGACATGGAAGTATATTGGATACAAATCATCCTGCTCAATAAAAAAGAACATCTTCTAAATGCCTTTTCCTTTCTATTGATTTTCATGAGAAATTATGGCCTGAGGACATGGAAGAGATTAGAGCCATTGTCATTATTACCTATTCCTCTGAACAYATGATAGGACTGTAGTTCTCCACATGGTCCTGAGACTTGTTCTGGCCAATGGAATGTGAGCAGAAGTGTCATGTACCATTTCTAAGGGTGAACCATTAAGAGCTGGTATCAGATTTATCATATTTCCTTCTCTCTACCCTTGTGCCAACAATAATAGTCAAAGATGGCTYCATCAATCTCTGTCCATGAATGAAAATGATGGGAATTGAAGCTTCCCAGTAATCCAAAATGGACATGTAGCTTGACAGATACACTTTCACTGTTAGAAAAATAGAAGATTTGGGGCATGACCTTGATCTTGTTGATTTTATAGGAGCCAAATCCTGAAATGATYGTTTTGCTTCTGATCAGGCAAAATATTCAGAAAATAGGTTCATTAGCACAAGATGGATGCTATTTTAGTAACAATAACTAAGATCATAGAGTGCTTGACAACTGTTGAATGTACTAAGGTGCCAATGTCTCGAGCCACTCACAGCTTTGTAGATTCAAACAGCAATTCTTTATTCCTGAACTCACACCGGCCTCTACACAAACACGTTCTGGGGAAATCCCAGTTCTGCCGCCCAATTCCTCTACCCCACCAGGCTTCTTTCCAAATACTTTTTGAATCTCAACGGGAACCCAAGCAGCGGGAACACCCTATTCCCAGCAGCAATAATCTTCAACCTCCAACTTCCCTAAAACCCAATATTGTCTTAAACCGGGAACGCCCTAAACTCAAGGAGCGGGATACTTCCTCAAACCTGATCAGCTCTAAACCCGGATCCRCCCTGGTCCTTGAGCAAGGTCACCTTACATGCAATGTCGACAGCAAAATCCATTTAACATGGGGTACGCTGGCAAGGAAATTTTGATGCGTCATTCSTACTTGGCAATGGCCCTCAGCACTAAGGCATAGATTATTTCCTCCCTTGTGTTCTTGTGGGTAGTCAGATCACTTTTTCTCTAGTCCATATCAACTCCTTCTGGTTAGAATCAGCTGTTCTTAGTGACCCTTCCCACTTTAAATACATCTCTAGTCTACCCCCTAGCAAAATGCACTTTAATTTTAAAATGTTACATCTTCGGCCTTGTGTGGTGGCACACATCTGTAATCCCAGGGATTTGAGAGGCTGAGGCAAGAGGATCACAAGTTTGAGACTAGCCTCAGTAAATCAGTGAGGTCCTAAGCAACTTAGTGAAACACTGTCTCAAAATGAAAAAAATAAAAAGGGCTAGCCATTTAATGGTAAAACAACCTGGTTAAATCTCCAATACCAAAAAAAAAAAATTAAAAAAAACCCATATATATATATATTGTCTTCACAGTAAATCATCTTATTCACTTTTGTCTATCTTCTTTCCAACATCTGTGTTCCATTGTTTGAAACATCATAAGTGCTTCATATATGCTCATTTGAAGAAACTGAGAATTAAGTTGGGGCAAGTCCAAGGCTACGAGTTATTAAGTACCTATGAGGACTCAATTCAAAGACTTTCGACATTCCATTCAGTGACATGAGTATCATTTAAATGGGTACTGAGAAAGAGAAAGTGGCTCTGAAAGCCAGGTTTGGAACTATCATCTGAGTCTTGAGTTGCTGTGAGTTTTTCTAGACCCCAGTGTTCTGTTGACTAAAAGAACACCGATACCAGACAAGGCCATTCTGGACCATGAGCAAGACAAAAATAAGATCACTTCATAGAGATCTTAAGACAATACTTGAACATTGCCTAAGCCACAAAAAATGACAAATATTCATGACTGAGGCTTTCTTTATCAATTATGGCTTTAGCTTCCATCTGATTTTGACTCCTAGATAAGATTCATTAAGATACTAATCAAAGAGTGGTTACCTCCAGGCAGAAACCACTCAAGAGGAAAACCTTGTTTTTGTTCTTGAACAGTTTCCTGACTCAAGAATAGGAGCCCCTAGTAAATCGTAACACCTTCTTAGAGTTGCCCCAGGGCTCCCTACCTATGGATTCCTCCTTCCTTAAGAAGTAACAGTTTGAGGACATTGATGCTCCASTTTCAGTGGCTCTGCTGTGTGTGTATGTTGAGGTTTTAATTACAACTCTATAAGACTTCTGATCCTTGCTTGACAAATAACGAAATGAGGATTTTAGAGATCTAATTATTTTTTCCCAAGGCCACCATCAATAGRAAAAGCCAGCGATCACATTGCAAAGCAGGTCTAACTTTGTGCCAGGAGCACTCTTTMCTATACTCTCCACCCGCACTCCCTATCTGGTTCTCCTCTACAGGCTACTTCTTTCTGCCCGCACTTGCCCAGCCGACGGATGTACTACAGTGAGCTGTAGCCCAAAAGTGTCCCTCTGCAACAGATCTTCTGTGCGCTGCCGTAAACACGATATTCGGACTTCGAAATGCTTTGCGTTGCAGAACAGTTGCGCGCGCCTACCAGCAGCATCTGGGCACCCGGGCTCCACAGGGCTTCACCTTCGGCCTGAAGRGGCGGGAACACGAGAGTGACATGACAGCAAGGCGCACCAATCCCCGCGGGGGCGCCGGCCGCAGAGCCCAATCGCAGGACAGCCGGGTCGTACTATGACAGCGCAGACAGCCGCCCGCCCAGCTCCTCCGTGGGCCCCGATGCTTCGCGGGCCGCAGCTGAGTCACTGCCAAGAGCGGGCCCGGCGGGTGGCGGACAGGCTGGTCAGAGCCAGGAAGAGCAGCAGCCGCCGGCGCCTCCGGGAGCTGGCTGAGAGCAAGTCCGCAGGCCCGAGGAGGAGCCGGGGGCAGCGCAGTGACTGTCGCGGGTGTCATTCTGGACTCAGGAAGTACGCTTGTCTTGGTTTGCTTTAAAATAGGGTTCGTGTTTCCCCGACAGGCGAATTTCATCCCCTGCCCGCCCCACTACAGCTCCGGCTGCGCAGCCCCGGCCCTCTCCCCACCACCCGGGCTGAGTGGCCCTCGCAGCCGCCAGTGCCCCAGCGCTGGGAGCTGCCCTAGAGCCCCGCAGGCGCTGCGCCAGCGCGGGGCATCAGGAGTCTGACCCCGAAAATGCCGGACCTCCTAGCACGGCAGGCAGTCTACCGCGGGGTGAGTTGCAGAAAGGAAAAAGAAAAAACCCTTCCGATTAAGAGTTTTGCTTTTCAGACTCCTTCCCTGCCCATTAATACGCAGCAAAATAACAACAACAGTTGCGTAACTGCAGTATCCTAAGGAAACTCCTTTGTTTACCTTATGAAAACCAGCTGGTGAGATGCAGTCTGACCACTGACTCACCCACAGCGGGGAGAACTGGGTAAGGTCATCACGGAGAATCTTCTCCAGGGCGGCTAGAGTGTTAAAACGTCCCACTCTGGAACACGGAAAAGAGTGACGATCCCAGCTGAGTACTCCCAAGTAAAAGTGATTCTCCTAGGAAGGGCTCACTGCTTTTCTGTTCTCTAGTTTTCTTGTGTGATATTTACTCCAAAAATGTTTTCTAGCTTCCCCATCTTTGAAAAATTAGGCTCTGAGATAAGAATGCAATTGGTTACCTCTGTCTCTCTTTTTTTTTTTTCCTATTAGAATTCAGCCACCTACCCAAACAATATGAAGATTTCCTACGTTGAACCTGCCATTCTTCTTAACTCCTTTGCTCTGTCTTTGATCTCTCCACTGACAACACAATACCTGTATAGGAGAATATGGGAAGAAACAAGCAACTACAGCTTTGCCCTTGATAACAATATTTCTGAGTGTGACAAAAACAAAAGCAGCCCAATTTTTGYAGTCCAGAAGGTAAGAAATTAAAATATCCCTAAAATGTAATTAAAGAGGGTATGACACTTATGCTTTGGCCTCTCAAGAATGACTATCAAAGTCCCAAATTGCAGACCAATAGCATTCACTGGGCTCTCATCTCATTTGACATTTCCCAACATCTGTAATCTGCCTTTTTTTTTTTTTTTTGTACTGGGGATTGAACTCAGGGCTCTCAACCACTGTGCTACATCTCCAACCCTATTTGTATTTTATTTAGAGACAGGGTCTTGCAGAGTTGCTTAGCACCTCAATGTTGTGAAGGCTGGCTTTGAATTTGGGATCCTCCTGTCTCAGCCTCCCCAGCCACTGGGATTACAGGCATGTGCCACAGTGCCCGGCTATAATCTGCCTTTTCTTCTTCTTCTTCTTTTTTTTTTTTTTTTTTTTTTGAGGGAGGGCGATATGGGGGGTCTTGCTTAGTTGCCAAGGTTAACCCAGAGCTCACCATGTTCCTGCCTCAGTATCCCAAGTAGCTGGGAKTATAGGCATATGCCATCACAACTGGCAGTCTGCCTTTTCTTGTGAGACGCTAGCTCTTGTTTCTCTTAGAAAATCCCAGCACAGTCTGAGATCTCTGCCCCCCAAAAAAATAATTTTAAAAAATAGTCTGAAAACTTTGACCAAGGCCTGCTGGGATGAGCTACTCGGTGGACACGGTGGATAGAGGCGGGTGAAACATGGTATGTCTTCCTCTCCCTTGTCCCCTTCCTCCCAGCACCCTTCTACTGCACCTGCATGTCAGTTTTTAGGGACTCCAGAAAGTGATCCATCACTGTAAACTGGCCAGAGGTCTGTCACTTGTCATCTGGTAGCATTAAGAAATCAGCCTTGACTCCCATATGTTGAAATGTGAGGACATCTGAGTGAGGAGTGCTCACTTTTGCTCTCTGGACACTGAAAACATTCAGCTAGACGTTATGGGGTCTTCCCACCTCCCTTACTTTGTATTTGTTTACAACAGGAGGTACTTTACCATCCTCCTGAGCCTTTCGATAGTTTTGGATAAAAGTCTACTGATGTCCAAATGCAAAAGAAGTGGCTGTCAGATGTGGAAATGCTTTCCTCTATAATGCCTCAAAAATAAACCATGCGTATAAATTCAGAACTCTTCCTCTTGGGGATTTTTTGTGATGGCAAGAATGGCGCTGCCACTCACAGAAGAGTTTAAGGAAATGGAGTTGCCTCCCCTGGCTCTGAGAGTCTGCCTGTGAAAGGAGTCTGAGGAGAGGAAGTGACAGAGAGCCCTAGAAGGGCTCGTGCCCACCCCGTGTCCCCCCAGGTGTCTGGTGGAAGYTAGCTGGGGCAAGGCCCAGGTGTTTGGCTCAGTCCCTGATTTTACTCATTTCCTTATTTCCATTTTCCTGAAACTGCTGAATTCTGAGCAGCTGTGCACACAGCAAGGTTCTGGCCTAGAGTAAGGTTGTAATGAGAGAAGGGCCAAGGGCCTCACTGAGCATTTTTTGTCCCTTCCAGGATGTCTCATTATACATCCTTCCCTTGAGCAAGAAGGCTCCATGGGATCATCATTCCTGTGTTTGGTTCTGTGTTTTCCTTCACCTGGCCCCTGGGAGCAGGCCCCCCTTGTTCCTGTGGGAGGGCCCTGGGYAGAGAGGACCTGAATATCTGCTGCAACTGCCCTCCTGGACTCAGGGAAGACTGGCCTTGGTCCAGCCATCTTGGTGGCKTCTGTGGCTAAGCAGGTAAAAAGTGCTAGTCCCCACCTCCAGCCTGGTCCAGCTGCTGAGAGCCTAGAGCAGTGGCCTCATTTAGAAGATTTTGGCCCAACTTTCAAACTGATTTGTTTTCATTTATTATTTTATTTATTTATTTATTTATTTATTTTGTTTTGGGTCTGGGGATTGAACTCAGGGGCACTCAACCACTGAGCCACATCCCCAGGCCTATTTTGTATTTTATTAAGAGACAGGGTCTCACTGAGTTGCTTAGCACCTCACTATTGCTGAGTCTGGCTTTGAACTAGCGATCCTCCTGCCTCAGCCTCCCAAGCTGCTGAGATTATAGGTGTGTGCCACCATGCCCAGCTCATGTATTATTTTTAATTGGATTTATTCTCAAGAGAACATACTACTCTTGATCCCTTCTCTTAAAGATGGTATTCATAGACCCCTGATGCTTTTCCTCGGAGTGGGGAACTGAAAAACCACCTACTCCCCCACTCTGCTACTCCCAGCTATGACAGAGACAGAGAGTGCCATTTTGTAAAGAAACCACCATCACCTTCAGCACTTCCTTTGGGCCCCTTTTCAGGATCCTATCCCTGCTGTGCTCAGAGAACGCCCTCTCCCTCTAAATCCAAGAGCAAATGTGTCCTGTTCTCTCAACTTACATCTCTACTATCCAGCTCTGCTGGTCGGGCTCTGGTTATTCCAAATTTAGGGCTTGGCAGACTGTTTTTAAAACTATAAGGATAAGAGATGTCACAGCATGGGGTGAGTCCCTAATAAAACAGATCAATCACTTTTTCAGCTCAAATTTTTCTTTGGTCTTCCTCCCCAAAAGATCAATTGTGTGTAAAAGGACAGTGAAAATTATGATAATTGACTCTTTACTGCTGTGCCATATTCATTTATCCTTCCTACATAACCAGTATGCACACGTGCCTAGGTATTAGCATGCAAGATACTATTATAAATTTCAGGGTATAGATAGAAGAATAAACCGAGCTCTCGCACTTTGCATTTGACATTTTGATAGTTTATATGAGTGAAAGTCTTATTTTTCAACTCATTTTGTATTAATACATACACATACATGTATATCTACAAACACACACTCATAGAAATAACATTATATTGATCGAACCTATTTTTCAAATCTTATTCTGAGCCCTCTGACTGGAAGGGACATCTATATATTTCTCTTCAGCAATGGGGTTAATCTCAGAAGGACCTTTAACAAAAAGGCAAAGCTGTGGCAGGGTACTTTGCCTAGGGAACAAAGAGTGAAGGAATTCTGGGCATATTTGTTGATTTTTGTGAGGAAGGAATTTTTAACCTCCTTACCACTCTTTCCTTCTCTTGTTAAATTTGTTTCAAAGGAATAAATTGGCGACTAAATCTGTTCTGTTTAGACAGCTTTGAGACAGGGACTCTGCTACTGGAGAGGAGAAATGCAACAGATCATCAAGGTGTTCTTGCTCAGGAATTTGTAAGCCTTTTGAAAACCAACACAATCCCTTGTTACTTACTCCTACTTAGGAAAATGACATGGAATATTTTCTATTCAACTGGAATTCACTTATACATTTTACCCTATGAAATTGTAACTTCTTTAACATAGATTTACTGCTTTCCTTCATTTATTCTTTTTTTTAAGAGAGAGAGAGAATTTTTTAATATTTATATTTTAGTTTTCGGTGGACACAACATCTTTATTTTATTTTTATGTGGTGCTGAGGATCGAACCCAGAGCCCCGCCCATTCGAGGCAAGCACGTTATTGCTTAAGCCACATCCCCAGCCCTTCATTTATTCTTTCCTTAGGACATTGTCATTCTGTGCAATCTTGCATAGAAAATAGCATTTTTAAAACTTCTCCTATCTACTCTTATGTGATATGTTAACTATCTTCCTCCAGAGTTTAAACACACGCATGCGTGTGTACACCCACACACACAATTTTTTTCTTATGTTTCAATTATGATTTATGGTGGAATATGCTTCGAGCTTGTCCTTGTTAAAATCTGTATTTTAAAATTCAGGTTACAGATGAGGAAGTAGTCTGTGTACAAGACTGGGTTAGGATTGGTAATAAAAAGAGGAAGACAGAACCTGGGTGGTGGGAAAGAAATGGGGAGGAGGAAACCAAAACTAGAACATCTGGTTTAGAAGCTGATTATAAGGTAACTTTTACTTATTTATTTATTCAATAAATGTTTACTTGATGGCACTGTATCTGTAAGAGATACAAAGATGTGCTCAGGATGTTTTATCCAGAAAAAGGAAACARGTCAAACTGATTGAGCACTAACTGTGCTAGGGCCTTGTTTATTTTATTTTTTAATTTATTTGTTCTAGTCAATTATACATGACAGCAGAATGTTCTTCGATTCATTGTACACAAATGGAGCACAAGTTTTCACTTCTCTGGTTGTAAGCAAAGTAGGGTCACACCACTCATGCAATCATACATGTACCTAGGTAATGACGTCAGTCTCATCCCACCATCTTTCCTACCCCCATGCCCCCTCCCCTCCCCTCCTTGTTTATTTTTATATGTTTAGCATCTTATGTTTATTTTAAATGTAACCCTACCAATAGCCTGTGAAGTAGAGACATCATTCATATCTGTCAGATGAAGAAGCTATGGAGATAAATAATTTGGTCAGATCCCGCACACCTAGCAGCTTACAAAGTCCTTATTACATGACCATTCATTCATTATCTCCTGAGTACCTGCCCACCTGCCCTGTCCTTGGAGCTGGTGGTACTGTGGTGAAGAAGACTCAGTTCCTGTCCTCCTTTAGGTTATTCTTCTTGTAAGGAAGGAAACATCTGATAATTTTGTAATTCATTAATCATTTAGGCTAYTTTCTGTATAGCACATGAATAAATCTTTTGTTTTCAATGAGCTTAATATTGCTCATTATAAAAATGGCACATACTCCAAATTTTAAATTTGGAAAATACAGATAAAAAAAATACAGATAGAAAGTGTTTTTATATCTCCCCAAATTCTTTCCATCAAATGACTAGTATGTCAGTCATCACAACTCCCAGTCTCAGTGTGTATGTACTCATCCATTGTCACCATTTTGGTCGTTGGAGGTTGAGTTTATGGCTAGCTATCATCTTTAGTTAATGTAAGTCCCCTTTATGGGATTTACCTTTTTAGTTCTAATATAGTAAATAAAAGAATAAGTTTCTCACTAATCTATTTGTGGAAATAGAAGTCAAAAGGGTAACAGAGCTCTTCCTAAATAAAGGCCTGTCAAATATGGCATCCATATGAGTTATTCACTCTCCTTTAGTGGGGACAGGAAGACCTATCGCAGGAAAGGGTGTCATTCTTGCTTTGGAATAGTAGCCATGATCTCCCAGTGTGAACTCTTCATAGAAGGAAGAAAACTCATACTATAGCTAACATCACAGGCCTAGTAGTGTATAGGTCTTTCTTGCAAGAGACACACACCAGTACACACATTTTTCTTTTCATGGATTCAGGTGGCCACTTGAATATCATGACTGAGTGTGAATGCTTATGTCACCTTTTGACACCTGCTTTGTGAACTGAATGAAGATTTAAGCTATGTCAGATCCCCCACCATGGACCAGATTCCCCACCCATGACTGACCGGCAATGTCAAGAAAAATATGCATCATGATATTTTTATGTGCATTGTATAAATTCACTGTCTTCTTTTTCTTTGCAGGAAGTTCAGGAAAAAGTGTCTTTATTTAGCCTACAGATGGAGATAAGTGGTTTAATTCCTGGCCTGTTGTCTACGTTCATTCTTCTATCTAGTAGTGATCRCCACGGGCGAAAATTCCCTATGATTTTATCTTCCGTTGGTTCTCTTGCAACCAGCATTTGGATCTATTTGCTTTCCTACTTTGCCTTTCCATTCCAGCTTTTGATTGCATCTACCTTCATTGGTGCATTTTGTGGCAATTATACAACATTTTATGGAGCTTGCTTTGCCTATATAGTTGATCAGTGTAAAGAATCCAAACAAAAAACAATTCGAATAGCTATAATTGATTTTATGCTTGGACTTGTTACTGGACTAACAGGACTGTCATCTGGCTATTTTATTAGAGAACTAGGTTTTGTATGGTCATTTTTAATTATTGCTATAGTTCTTACTGTTAACTTGACATATATTTTATTTTTACTTGATAATCCAATGAAAGAGTCTTCAACTCAGAATGTTACCATATCATGTAGTGAAGGCTTTAAAGATCTATTTTACCGAACTTACATACTTTTTAAAAATGCTTCTGGTAAGCAACGGCTTTTGCTCTGTTTGTTACTTTTTACAATGATCACTTTTTTCTTCGTAATAAGTGGCATTTCCCCAGTTTTTATCCTTTATGAATTGGGTCCCCCACTCTGCTGGAATGAAATTTTTATAGGTTATGGATCAGCTTTGGGTAGTATCTCCTTTTTGAGTAGCTTCCTAGGAATTTGGCTTTTTTCTTATTGCATGGAAGATATTCATATGGCCATCATTGGAATTTTTACCACCATAGCAGGAATGGCCACAGCTGCTTTTGCTAGAACTACACTGATGATGTTTTTAGGTGAGTTACAAATGCAGCCTTGGAACTAACTGTGTATTTGATTTTATATGAAATGAATTAAGTCTGATGGGACAGAACCTTTAATATAAAGCTCTCTATTCAACTCCTTCCAGTTGTCTTAAAGTTAAAAAGCTAGATTGCCAGAAGCAAATAAGATGAAAGCAAAATCTACGGGGGGTGGTGGGGAGTATTCCCKGAATTGACCACAATTTTCCAAATTTACATGTGTGCCAAAAAAAATGTTTTGGGAGATATTCTTTATATGAATGAGTTCTTCAATATAGCTTTCACCAATAGCCAGTTTACCAAAGTGAACATTTTTTAAAATGCTGCTAAGAAGGCTATTTCCCATAAAAATATTTAGAACAATTATATAAAGTGTATCTACTTGATTTATAAGAAAATTCATATTTGTTGAATATATTCAAGAAGAAATTCTTTTCCCCCCAAGTATTCTGACATTTGTCTTATGCTATTTTAAAAAATATTCTGATGTGCTCCACCAAATTAATTTTACCATCCAATAATACATTGCAACCAGAATAGAAATTACTGTTATAAATTTTATACAAAATCAGAAATCACAAATTTTGCTTCCAAAGAGATGAAGGAGGCAAGAAGTACTTGGGGTTTGCTCTGAGGGTCCCTTCTCCCTCAATACCAAAAGAATAGCTTCACATCCTTCAAAAGGAAAGTGTTTTAGGGGAGGTTTTTGGAAATCGACCTACTGGTCATTTCATGAATTGACTTGTGATGAATTGCTATTCAGCACACTGAACTGCTTGCTTAATTACATRCCTCAAAACTATTTTTATAGGGTTTGGGTGAGATCCTGCATTGGAAAGGGCTATGGGAACTGGGAAGCAGCACTTTGAGAAAGGCTAAATTTAGTCTTTTTTACAAAGGAAGTGTTAACTTCCTACTACCTAGTATAGAAGTAGTGTGAMCGAGAAATGGCCTTAATTTCCACCAACAGCCCTAGGTGACCTTCAGCAAGTTACTTAACTCCTTTGAGCCACATTTTCTCATTTGCAAAATGCACATGATAATGCCTCATTCAGAGGAATATAATGAATATTAGTAACTACAAAACACTTCACACAATGCCCACTATTCAATAAATGCCAGTTTTCCTCTGTCTCACTAAGAACTGCCAAGGCCATGTAAGTTGATATATGAGAAAACACTTTGAAAACCTTAAAGCAATCTGCAAATATATCATGACATATTTTAAAAGGCTATTGATGGTTAAGGATCATAATTTAAGAACAGAGGCCATTTGTATTTATGAAGTTATTTTGACACAAAGACGAGCTAGCAAGGTGATAAGGAGCCAGTTTACCAATAAATGAGTCTGTGCAGTAAAGGAATGCTAACTAACACTGTATTAAGTCTGAAAAAGAACAACAAACAAACAGACAAAAACTAGCTGTCACAACTTGCTAAACAAGAAGTGTATAAGAAGAAGCTGCTCAGCCTCCATTGGTAGATCATAGATCTGGACCTAAAACTTACATGTTTAGACTGAGAATGTTTCCCATGTACAGTTACCAAAAGTGTTCTAATCCAGTCATTTCTCCCATAGTCCGGGTGCCATTCCTTTTCACTATTATGCCACTCTCTGCCCTGCGATCCATGTTGTCAAAAGTAGTCCGTCCTACTGAACAAGGTGAGTTTAAGTCATTTAAAGAATGGAATGAATGTATCAACAGAATGTACAATAGAATTGGATGCTTTGATAACCCTTTTCTGCCCAGATCTTTTGAATTAAGTGGTAAGCTATGTCAGGAAGAGGTTTACACTCAGGTAAAAGAGCCCCTTCCTAAGGCCCTTGTTTTAGAGAGCAGCTCTGGCCTTTCCTCTGGCTGTGCCCTAACCCAAGAGGAGACCTAAGGGTCAAGTGGATATGTCCACTGAGAGTCCAAAACACCTCTGCTCCTTCTATACTGTACTCTGGCTAYCTGAGTCTCCATAATTTCTATCCATACAACTCTGAGCTCATGCCCAGTGAGTGTCTGCCTGATCCTCTTCCATGGATATACCCCCACGTGCTCTCCTCTAGACCAGAGAATCCAATGGTGACTCTTCATAGGAAGGTCTGACCAAAACTTGGAATYATAGAACAAGCATGTTGACACCCATGTGTAGTTGACCCTTCCTAAGCAAGATGGATCAAGGAGTAGAACAGAATGGGGGTGGGCTGCAGGCTGGGGACAGAGGGCCAAGGGCCAACTCTATCATGCTGTCTTGTTCCTACATGGAATTCTAAAAAGTTCTAAGAATTCTGCATTTGTGCCAGGCCTTCCAGATCATTACAGAGATATGTTTTCCACAGTAGAGAAACACGATATATTTTTTAATTAATGTTTCTTTAGCCAGATTGGTAACTTAAATACAGTTGACTCTCAATATCTGAGGGAGATTGATTCCAGGACCCCTTACAAACACCAAAATCCACAGATGATCAAGTCCCTTAAGTAATACTATATATTATATGCACATAACCTGCACATGTCCTCCTGTGTACTTTAAATCATCTCTAGATGGCTTACAATACATAACACAATGGAAATGCTATGTAAATAGTAGTTATACTACATTGCTCAGGAAATAATGACAAGAAAATGATGTCTGTACATGTTTAGTAGAAAAATAACCATCAAATGCCTAACTATATTTTTTTATGTACGATGGGTTGAATCTTTGGATGTGGAAGCTGTGGATATAGAGGGCTGGCTGTACTTAGACTATATATGTAGACTTCAAATTATATCCTTACTTGGGACTCAAATCAGAATCCWACAGCAAACAGGAATCCACTCAACTAGTTTAAATCAGAGACTTCCAGGAATGATGGTATAGGCACTGTGGAGGTCCCCAGAGAGGTGCCCAAAATAGGGAAGAAAGAGAGAAAACACACTATAGCCTTGTTCTCCTCCTTCATACCTTTGACATAGCACAATAGGAAATTGGACCAAGAAGGATGTCCTAGTCATGTCATATGAGGGTCAGCCTCCCAAGTGTAGATCAGGGAACAGGGGCCCAATGGTTGAAAGGGCAGACAGAGAATAACCAGCACAGAAAGAAGACAAGAGTTAAATTTATAATTATAACTAGTAGATATTAGCATATGGGGTTGTCCTCCTGTCCTTCTGTATCATATGAATATTATTAGACATAGGTACTTTCTTTTGTATCATATCAGTCTGGTTCTTATTTGATTATTTATGGAAAATTCCTAAGTGTGCTTTTGTATTTATGCCAGTTTAGTCAACACCAAGGAAAGCTGCATAATTCAATAACTTGAAAATATATTTCTTGATTCTTTTCCACTCATAAGCTGTAGCTGTATAGTCAAACAGCTGTTTATAGACCACGTGATGATGGTTACCTTGAGAACCACTTAGGAATATAAAAATTGTTATTATACTATGTAAAAATCTACCTGCTTCCTTGGATTATGCATTGGTTTCTTAGATATGACACTAAAAGCACAACAAAAGAAGAATATAAGTACATTAGACTTCAATAAAGACTTCATTCAAAATCTCTGTGCTTCAAAGAACACTATGAAGGAAATGAAAAGGCAGGCACAGAGAAGATTTGCAAATCTATGTCTGATAAGGAACTTGTATTCAGCGAAGGTAAGAATGCTTAAAACTCGATAAAAAAAGACAAACAATGCAATTAAAAATGGATATAGGATCTGAGTGGACATTTCTCCAAAGAAGATAGGTCAATAAGCAAATGAAAAAAAAGTAGGATATCACTAACCATCAAAGAAATGCAAATCAAACCCACAATAAGGCACACTTGGATAGCCAAAGTAAAAAAGATCATAACAAGTATGAGTGAGGAAGTTGAGAAAGCGGAACCTTCATCCACTGCTACTGGGAATATAAATTGGTACAGCCACTTTTGCAAAGCAGTTTGGTAGTTCCTCAGAAAGTTAGTTACCTTATGACCCAGCAACACCACCCCCAAGTATATACCAAGAGAAATGAAAACACATGTCCAAACAAAATAGAAGTATTATTCATGATAGCCAAACAGTGGACACAATGTAAATGGATATAGTATATCTGCCAATAAAAATAATTAATGTTCTGAAACATACTATAATGTCATGAGAGAACTATGAAATCATTATGCTAAATGAAAGAAGCTAGTCACAAAAGGCCAYACATTATTGTACAAATATGACTCAGTTTACAAGAAATATCCAGAATGGGCAAATTCATAGAGACACAGAAATTAGATTGAGGTTTGCCAGGAGCTGGGGAGAAGGGAAGTAATTGCTATTGGGCATAAATTTTCTTTTGGGGGCGATGAAAATATTCCACATGTAGAAAATAGTAATGGTCTCACAACTCTGAATATACTAAATAATATACTAAATATATAGTACTAAATACTGAATTTTGCACTTTAAAAGAGTGATCTTCATGGTATCAATTATATTTCAGTAAAGCTGTTAAGAAAAAATGTTTACATGCTTTGACTTAAAGATAAAATGAACTTGTCAAAATGTATGTTTTTGTTCATATTTGATAGAGTTTATAAAGGCTTTTAAAAAATCATTTCATTATTAACTATAATAACATTGAAAGATGCTTAGGTTGCATTTGGGCATTTCTTATTCAAAATTGCAATAACTTTGTGAATTATGACTCCATTATTCTAGGATAGTGTAATTACTCTTTTCCTTACTATAAATTAAGAAGTACTTTGGACAGTGTTAAAATTTCTATAACTAAATGTATTCGTATCTCTTGTTATTTTTTTAAAAATAACCATTTTGTGAAAATATTATGTATTTTATAATAATCAGAGGAAGGGGAAATACTGAGAGGCTTTCAGATGCCCTCACTCTCTCTTATATTAAATGAGAAAGGGGAGGAGCAGAGGTGGAGCTCAGTGGTTCAGCTTGTGCTTAGTCTGTAAGAGGCTCTGGGTTCAATCTCCAGCACCAAAAAAAACAACRACGACAACAAAAAGAAGGTGAAAAAAATGGGGTAATTATTTTAAGCTCTCTGTGCTAGGTGGGCACCATCACACACACCTGTAACTTCAGTGACTCTGGAGGCTGAGGCAGGAGGATCGTAAGTTCAAAGTCAGCCTCAGCAACTTAGAGAGGCCCTCAGCAACTTAGTGAGACCCTATCTCAAAATTAAAAAAAAAAAAAAGTAAAAAGGGCTGGGAACTTAGCTCAATGGTAAAGCACCTCTGGGCTCAATCCCAGTTAGGAAAAAAAAAAAATCTTTGTGTGCTGTACAGATGTGAAATTCATACTTCAAGCCATCTTGGACTAGCTATTTTGCCTTTGTATCACTCATGAATTCCTTGTGATTATAAGATTATAAATTGAAACACAATAAGACAGGCTTGACCTTTTGAGTTCTGTTGGATTAAAAAAAAAAAAAAACAACTTAGAATGTAAACTCCAGTGTCCTTACTGAATCCTACTGATCTCTGCAACTACTAAACAAGTTGAACTGCTCAGAAACATTCAGCAACAAGCTAGAGCTACTTCATAATAGTATGTGTATCAGACAGATAGTGCCCTGTCTGACCTGCTTCCCATGAAGAATGGATTAACGCCCTTACATAACAGAACTAGCACTGAGAAGTCTGCATTCCAGAGCACAGCATTATTCTTGGCTATAGCAAGAGATCGCAAATAAAGAAAATAATATTGTAGTTGGGCAAGTAGGAGAACTCCTTTCCAATTAAACTGACTTAGCATATTATCATAAATCCTGGAGGCAATAAATCTATATGCTACTTGATGACTGATAATTGGAGTCCTGAATTAAGCTTTTATTAATTTACTAGACAAATATTTATTAAATATCTACCATCACCAGGACAGCTGGGCCCTGGGGACATAGGAGCAACCAAGAAATGCACTTTGCATTGACAGAGCTTTCATTATAGCCAAAAGAAGATATATAAATGACTACATATTATTTTGTCGAGATAGATTTATGTTCTATAAGTGCATATCCTATTGTTTAATGAAGAACTTGAAGAATGTATTAGATTGTGTCTAACAGAATGGAAAGGTTTAAATAGAAAATCAGTATATAGTCTAAAAGACCCTGGGGATAATTAGATGATAAAGTCTACAGAAAGCAGAAACCACATAGGAACATAGACTGAGCATAGTCATGTCTGTCTGACATGCTCACAAAATTTAGTACCTAGTGATGCCAAGTATAACAAAGAAAGAAAGCACATCAAAACAACTAGCCTATCTTTGGAGGTTTAACTCTTCACTCAGTATAGTCTTGGATTCTAACTATGGCAAAAGTTGGTTGAATCATGTGCATTTCTCTCAGATTATGAGCTTGGACTGTCCACTCACTTATTTTATGAACACATCTACCTACAGTGGAACTCAGCTACKTTGTTTTCAACATCTTTCACACTGACTCCTAGGAGAGATGTTTGTCTGAACTTTTTCATCTGCAAAATGGGTCACTGACTTCTCAGGAATTTTGAAGGAACAGATTTCATTCACCATCAGTGTCCCCCTGTTTGCAGTTTTCAATGAATAACAATTTTTCTTCATCAGCTTTTCTTTCTTGTTTTGTAATCTGGTCTTTTCTGCCCCCTCTCCCACACCCCTGTACCCCACACAGGTACCCTGTTTGCTTGTATCGCTTTCTTAGAAACACTTGGTGGAGTCACTGCGGTTTCTGCTTTTAATGGAATTTATTCAGCCACAGTTGCTTGGTACCCCGGCTTCACTTTCCTGCTATCTGCTGGCCTGTTGTTCATTCCAGTGATCAGTCTATGGTATGTGATTATTATTTTTAATCATTTTATCAAAGGGCATCTGAATTAAGTGGTAAAGCGCCCCTAGGTTTAATCCCTAGCATCAAATAAATGAATAAACAATTTATTAATTTAGCCCCTAAGAATAGAGATTTATATTTAATCTAAGAATATCCCTCAATGGTCAAAGATTGCTGTCTTAAGATTGACTTTAATATGGATTCTTGAATAAGTGAGAAAAGCAGAGAGAATTGAGCTAAATATTGAGAGCTCTCTTTCCTGAGCTTGTTTAGTGACTCCCTTTTAAATTGTAAATATTCAAAAATAAATAAATAAAATGTAAACAAATAATACAAAGCACAAAATTCTGTTCATAAATAATACATATTAGAKCTGTGGTTGTGGCTCAGTGGCAGACACTTGCCTAGCACATGTAAGACGCTGGGTTCGATCCTCAGCATCACATATAAACAAATAAATAAATGTCCATCAACAACTAAAAATATGTATATATTTTTTAAAATATTTTTAGTTGTAGATAGACACAACACCTTTTATTTATTTATTTATTTATTTATTTATTTATTTATTTATTTATATGTGGTACTTAAATCAAACCCAGTGTCTCAAATGTGCTATGCAAGCACTCTGCCACTGAGCCACAACCCCAGCCCTAAAAATATTTTTAAAGACACTAATTCTTTAAAAAAAAGTACACAAATTAAAGAGATCAGACATAAACATAGATGAAATACTTATTTCTTCCTGTTTCTCAATTAACAAAAAAATGTTAGCCATTCAGATAAGTGGTCACAAAATCACCCAAGTGTATATATATCAGTGATCTAAAAGGGCATTAACCTGCCTCTGCAGAGCTTTGTCCATTTCACATGGCTGCATAGCATGGTGACAGGAATCAAGGGACAGGAGTCACAAGAAGCCAGGCCTTCTCTGCTTCTCCTAAGCACTTTGGGGTCAGGCTGTGAGTAAGGGAGAAAGCTACCTCCAAGCAGTAGCCTTAGGCATTCTGCCAGGACTGAGAACTCCAAGAAGGGCTGGCCCAYGTTTTCATAGTAGGCACTTGATAGATACTGTCTCAGCTGAATTCTGCTACCTAGATCTGTATCAGATGGGGTATAGTAGGATTAGAAGTTCCTCTAACAAAAAGTATATTTACTAAGTGTCTTTAAGAGACCATTCAACTATTGAATTATCAAAATTATAAATTCATGCTGTGCCATCAAGCACATGATGAGACAGTCCATCTTATAGGTTGTTGGTAGATGCATGATTCAGCTCTAGCACAAGGCAATTCAGAATGGGTATCGAAAGACGTGAAAAAAGTTCACAGTGATTTGTCCAGTGATTTCTTTCTTCACACATATATAGCTATTTTGTTAGAAATGGATGGGTAAAAAGTAGTTATCCTATTAATAATGCTTTTAATAATGAGGTAAGTATAGATGGGCRTCTGAGTCTTTTTTTAACCCTATACTCTCAATATTTTCAAAATCAAAATTACATATTGTTTTAATTATTTCCAAATGTCCTAATGCCTAGATTCAATTCCAACTTTTAAACAGGAACTTCAGTAATAGCTTTAGTTGTAAGTATTTTATGGGGACTCTACCAAGGAGACAGCAGGACTAATGAGCTATTTTAGCAATCCAGAAGAAAAAAACTCATGCAAATTTTTAAATTTCTGAACACAGTGCTTAATGAGTTCATTGGATTCAAAATGCCAATCCTGCTATGCACAATTCCATAATTTATTAGAAGCCCTGTAACCATGGAAAAGACTAGAAGGACTAGATTGCTTATTCATGCATTGCTTCAATATGCACTTCACAAGGCCTGTTTGCTTTTGTAGGGCTGTCAAATGCATAAACTGGAGGGAGGAGAGCAATGCACTTCTTGTACAGGAAGAGTCCAGTGATGACACTTCAGACAGGTGACTGTGTACAGTGATACACCCATCATATCCTGAGACTCCTGAAGAATACAGACTAACTGCACGATCGGTGCTTGATTAATAGTCAACATTACATATCCTTCCTTTCTCATAAACCCGACAATCGGAGAAATAGCACCTGGCTTTCGCTTTGAGCACTTTGTGCTCACCATGCACTCTATTCCCAACACAAGGAAGAACAATCTTCAAAACACCTTGCACTTTTGGACTTACAAAGAAACCACAACTAAAAAGTGGAAGGAGGGATTAAGAAACTGACATGGTCAAAAGCAATAATTTCGCTGACATACTCTAGTCTCTCATGCTGAAATCAAGGAGAAGATTTTTACCTCACTTTCTTCACTGGCAAAACAGGTTTCTGACCTGTCTCAGGGATTTTGAAGGTACAATGAAAAATTATATTGAGTAACTCAATGATATGAAAATAATGGTGTAAGTTATAAATATTTATCATTTTGTCTACTCCTGAGTATTGCTTTGTTTCATGGAGCCCATCAAGGTACAAGCAATAGACAAAGCCTTTAATAGTACAAGATTCTTAAAAGAGAAGCACTTTAAAGCATAATCATGCCACACAGGGATCACTGAGGAAACATGAGACTGTAGATAAAACTGTCCTAAATAAATTTAAAATCTGAGTAAACTGCTCGTTGTGGACAAAACCCCCTAATTATATTCATTCCTTAAGTCAGTAGAAGGACATTCATATTCCATAAACCTTGGCTGAGAATTCACTTCTAACCTTTCTTACCCACTTCTTGCTCATCCTCCCCACTGCACTGAGAAAGGCATTCTAAAACGGGTTTTGCACTTTACAAATTAGAATTCTTCAGTAGCTGTCTGGAAAATGACCAAACAAGTAAACTACCACAATTTTACCCCTCTCTATTTCATAGTGAAATGTTCATTCTGGGCTCTACCATAGTCCAGGAAACACCATGCTCTCTCAAACCTCCATGGTTTGTGGGTACTTTTTGGCAGGGGAGGGGGGAGGGRATACTAAGGATCGGACCCAGAGACACTTAACCACTGAGGCACATCCCCAGTCCTTTTATTTTTTATTTTGAGACAAATTCTAATTTGCTTAGGACTTTTCCAAGTTACTGAGGCAAACTTCAAAATTGCCTTAGYCTCGCAAGTTACTGGGATTACAAGTAGGCACCTTAATGCCTGGCTCCATAGGTTTTTTTGTTTTTTTGGTACTAGGATCTGAACCCAGGGGAACTATACCACTGAGCTATATCCCCAGCTTTTTTATTTTATTTTATTTTTTTGTGGTGCTGGGGATTGAACCCAGGGCCTTGTGCATGTGAGAGCTTTTTAATTTTTTAAGACAGGGCCTCACTAAATTGCTGAGGCTGACCTTGAAGCTGTGATACTTCTGTCTCAGCCTCCCAAGTCACTGGAATTACAGGCATGTACCACCACTGGCACTGGTGCCCCCATGTCTTTTTACAGTTTTATTCTGTCTTAGCAACAATATTGCTTCCTTTGTAGTCAGTGTTCTTGATATTTGGCAATAATCCCCAAGTCCCTGCAGGACTCCCATGCCTTTTGTATATACAGTACCTCCATCCTAGTGTTTTCTACTGTCTTGTAATTCTTCCTCCTATTGGACAATCATCTCCTTGAGGACCGGAACACTCTGATTACTTACAATAATAATGCTTAATAAATTTGTGGGGCCAAACTAAATGACTATAAAATTTTATTTGTATTTGTAAAAATCATTTAAAACTATATATTTAATGTCCTGTGAGGATAACCACTTATATCATGCCATAGTCATTAAACCAACCTTGCAAAAAATTGCAATATATTCTAGGGTAGTTGATTTATACTATTTTCATAGATACTTCAATAACTTCAATTTTCTAAGTTGTCATTATAAAAACACAAATGTATTGAAGTGCCATTAGTTGGTCAACTTCTTGTAATCTTCTAAAAGCAAATACAGTCTTCTGTTTGATAGTACTGGTGAGGAAATGTTTTTTGTTTTTAACTGTAAGGTAGTCAATGATTGCTTGACCAGCAAATGGTACTTGTGATTTAATATACTAGAAATTCTAATTTCCAAGGCCATTCCTTTTAGGTTTAGCTAATGTCTTCCAGGCTGAGGGCCCATGTAATAACTGATGATTYTCAGATTGATTGATTTTTGTTTTTCATCCTATTCAATACTCTTTTCAAACCAAAATAAAAAGTAGATTGTGGTTTACCAAGTGCTTTCTCTATACTTTRGTATCTTGGTAACCCTGTAAAATAGATCTTCATTTTCTTCATTTTACAGATGAAGTCAAGGCTCAGGGAGATTTGGCTTGGATGGTCATTTAGCTAACCATACTGCAGTATTACTGTACACGAATGGACTGGACACTACTGAGGTTCTCCATAGCTAGGGTGTGCACAGAAAAGATTATAATCCAAAAACAAGGGACTGTACCATGTACAGTATGAAGTGCCCAAAACACATGAAAACACATCAGTACTCCCAGTATTCAGCTACACAGCTTACAATTATTGCTTTTTTGAGGTTAGGCAAAATGGTCGATAAAGTACCTTCTAGCTCAGTGTTCATGATTTTACATATTTCATCTGAACTGAAGAGAGCACAGATTGGTATTAATATAGTTAAGGATTAATAGGTAATATCCCAGTTGAGCAAACATTCTTGGGTATTTTGAGGGACTGAATTCAAGTATCTCAGGGCAAAAATAGAGCAGGAATGAGCATACCCATCTCTAAAGTGTCTACTCTAAGAGATAATTACTAAATGTGATGCTAAAGAGATGGAGGAAAATATTCAAGACAGAAGCAAACCACAACAGCTATCATCTAATCTCTATAATGTAACCTGATTGTCTAAAAAAAGAATATTAAGGAATAATTAGTCTTTATGAAGTACAGATAAAAGGAAACCGGAGATGCTGGAATGTGTACTGTATCACTAAATAACTGCTATATCACTAAGTCATCTCCTGATTACTCATTCAATATCCACAAATCTGGGTAATAAGAAAAAGATGTCCTTAGTTCAACATTCTTCTAAAGAAATGCCTGCATATCAGAAAGAAAAAAATGTCCTGGCCTTATGCCAGATTCAAATTCATCAACTACAATGGCGTCTTAGAATCTATTTTTTAAAAACTCCCCAGGTGACTGATACACATTCCATCTGGGAACTACTGCCTGGATAACTGTTTTCAACCCTAAATGCACATTAGAATAATCAGTGTGATTATAATACAAAGCCTATTCTAGGTCAATGTTTCTGAACCTTGCCTGCCAACTCAAATTACCTGGGGATCATTTAATACTTCCAATGCCCTGGTCTCAGCCCAAACCAACTAAATCAGAATTTCTGGGAYTGAAATCTAAATAGATTTTTTTTCTTCCCTTTCTCCAGGTGATTCCAAAATGTGGCCAGGATTGAAAATCACTACTCTAGGTGAGGGGTCAGCAAACTGTCTCTGTAAAAGGTCAAAGTGTAGATATTTTAGGCTTTGTGGGCCACACAGTCTGTCATGCTACCTAACTCCATATTATATCACAAGGCAACTGAAGACAGACATAAATAAACGGGCACAACTACAGCTATGCTCCAATAAAATCTTATTTACTGAACAAGCAACAAGCTGAATTTGTTGACATAGTCTACCTACTGGAAAGGTATCTTTATTATAAACACTGCCAAAATGGGATGCATACAATAATATAAACATAAAATATAATAGTGGCACTTTTAATATAGTGCCCAGTTTGGTGGGGGTTCAAAGTCAGTCTCATTTGCCTCACTTAAGAGAGAGACTAGTTCTGGTTATACCAAAAGAAGGAAACTGATTGACCTATGTAGCCTCAAATCATTGCTTAGGAAATGCTTTGTCAGGGAGGATAGATAGCTGGAGTGTGACTGAGATGGGGCCTAGCCCAATTGGTTTCATTGCCAAATATTTAAGGAACAAATAAATAAATTCTATACAAAATTTTCCAGAAAGTAGAAGCAGGAAATGCTTCCCAACTCATTATATGAGGTCATTATTATTATGATGCAAAATCAGACAAAGAAACTATAAGAAAACTCTTGAACATAACAAATTCACAACAAAACATTAATAACTGAACTATGGGGTTTAAGCAGACAACTCAATCTAGTTCAACATTTGAAAATGTCATATTGTAATACGTGGTATTAATAGGGGGGAAAAACCACATGATCATATACAAGGATATAGAAAATATTGAACAAAATTCAAAGTCCACTCATGATAAAAATTCTCAAGAAACTAGGAATCAAGCTGATAAAAGCCATCAAAAAATATTTAAAGCAAATAATAATTTATGATAAAACAGTGGCTGCTTCCCCCCAAGACTGGGAATACAGCAAGGAAATTCAATCTCACGACTCCAATTCAGCACAATCCTAGAAATCCCGGTAATAAAACAAGAGAACGAAATAAATGGCAAGTAAATTGGGAAGGAAAAAGTGAAATTGTTATCTGCATATAACAGAAAGTTCTAAAGAATCAATTTTAAATTTAAAAAGGAATCACTATAATTAATAAGTTAATTTAGAAAAGTCATAGAATATAAARCCATTATACAAAAAATATTATATTTCAATATGCTACCAACAAATGACTGAAAAAAATTAATAAAGCAAATCATTTAACAACAGCATCAAAAACAAAATCAGAATAAATTTAATAAAACAGGTACAAGACCTGTACTGAAAACTACAAAACATTGCTGAGAGAGATCAAAGAAGACCTAAATAAATGGAAAGATATAATATRTTCATGGATTAGAAACACAACATTGTTAAGATATCTAAATTTGTATAAAACTCCTAGAAGAAAATCTTTGTAACAAGAAAATCTTTGTAACCTTCTGTTAGAAAACACATTTAGATAGAACTCCAAAAGCAAAAAATACAAATACATACAAATAGATTAGATTTTATMTAAATTAAAATTTCTGCTTTTGAAATACACCATTAAAAAATGAAAAAGCAAGCCAAGACTCCAGAAATATTTGCAATAATAATATATCTGACAAATGTTTTATACTGACAATTATAGATGACTTTTGACTCAATGAGGCAAACCAACCAATTTAAAAAGTAGAACAGATGGGACTGAATGTAAAACAAGTCAAAAAAAAAAAAAAAAGATACAGTACTCAACAACTCAACACCACAGGTAAATTTTAAAAACCTTATACAAAGCAAAAGAAACCAGAGATTGACTAAGTAAATAAATACTGTATGGTTCTACTTTTATGAAATCTGTTAAAACAAATAACCACCAGCATCAAAAAACAGATGAAAGGTTACCTAGGGCTCAAAGCAGGAGAGACAGGGATAAAAAAGGATAGGAAAGAATTCTGGAAAGATGAAAACATTCTATATTTTAATTGTTATGGTAATTAAATAATTGTGTGTACATTTGTCAAAACACAGATAACTGTATAATTTGAGTACACATTTTTATGTAAATTATACCTCATAAAGTTAAATTTAAAGACTATTTTGGTACTTTGGAGAAAGAAAGGTAGCAAGTTGTTAAGGTCTGTAAATAAGTCAAAAATAACACCTGGTATTTTGCCAGAGAAATGTTAGAGTTCATAAACAAGTCTGGATGGTGCCTGGCAAAATGTCAGAGGGAGTGGTTTGAGAAGTAACAAAAGCGAGCCATTAAGTGTGGAGATTCCTTATTGGTTGATTGATGTATCTAGTTTATGCTAATTAAGATAAGCTGTGCAAAATGTATAAATAGCTCTGTTGCCCTACAATAAAGGGCTCCCATTCCTGCTGTATCAACGTACACAAGTTATTCGTCACCCCCCGGTTATTTTGCTGCAGCCGGACTGYGGCAGCAAGTAAAGGGAGAATTTACATAAGCAAATGACTCAACATTCCTGTCTCTCAAAGTTTGATTTATTTCTTCTCTCTTATATCAGTGGTCCTCAAAGAAGATCCTTGGGTTATTAGCATCACTATTGCCCAAAAACTTATTAGAAATGCAAATTCTTAGGCTTCATCTCAACCACAAACTCTAGGTATAAGGCTCAGAAGTCTATTTTGAAAAGCCTTGTGATTCTGTACACAYAAAAGTTTGAGAATCACTGTCTGCCATAATGCTAAGGACCTCCGACATCTCAGCTTCATTTATCATGTACCTTTGTTGAATCTAATTCTGCAAATGATTAAGACGATAACCATATTCTTCAGTTATTTGAATCTAGAATTATCTTATGTAAGGCAGCATGCTGATATACTAAAAGTGCACTCATAATCTTATTTCTTCATGTGTTCCTGAATTTATTGTAWCTAGAAATTGGCAAAGACCCCAAATTATTTCTATAAGTTAGATTTCTCTGGATTTGACTTCCAGGAAGAATGCGGCACTCTTTAACATTGGCTATGGGTTTGGAAACAAAAAAGACCATGGCAGAGGGGAATTGACTTTCTCTGGTAAATGGACTTCTTTGGGAGAAGGAACATTCTCCTTCTAAGTGAAGAAATTACTTCCTCAGTCCTATTCCCACTTAATTCTTGGCATACTTCAAATCCTAATCAATGCTCCAGTTTTCACAGAATAGATCTAATGGGACAGTGAATTCACCAGCTGTGCTAACTGGGGAGACTTAGATCTTGTTTTCTACTGAGTATTATATCTGTAATAAATGAGGATGCTGTAGCTTGATATAGGAATTCAAACATATTATTTATTTACTTTAACCCTCATCCTACTAATGCTGTTAGAAGCAGCCACCCTGGAATACTGACTTTTTCTTAGTCTGGTTGCCCAGAATCTTACTATAAAATGAGCCTGTGATTTCCTGGAACCAGATAGGACACCTATTTTTCAATTGCCTTCCAAAGGCAGCTAGATTTCCTACCTAGAGTCACGATTAAAACCTGTCAGCCTGATAACTAATCTACCAATGTCTCTGGGGACTTGTTCCCTAAAATACCAGCTGCCTGATACCATTACTCATCCAGAGACCTCCAAGTGCAAGCAACAAAATGCACTCTTCTATGTATAAAGGAATTTACTATAAAGATACTAGAGGGTCACCACTTTGGTAGCAAACCAAGCAGAGGCTAAAAAATAATCAGGAATCAAAGGAGGGTCACAAATAGAGCAGCAGAAACCACAATGATGTGGCATGAGGGCACACTRTTTGTGCAGTAATGAGACACCTACCTTACTGGTCTCCTTTTCCTGGACTCAGGAATCCCAGTTCTAGTGAGATAGAAAAGGCTAGGGAAGGGACAGTAAAGGTCAACAGTGGGGAAGCATGGAACAGCCATTTTAACATGCCCTACATGTTATAAAACAGTTCCTGTTTCTCAGAAAGGGTGTGTCTATCTCACCAAAAACAACTACATAATTCATAATCCAGCTTTGCCCACCATGGGATAAATGAAATATCAAAATGAGCTTATTAACTTCTCCCTACATGCCTTTAAAAGGGGGAGCACTATAAACCTTAAAACGTGCTGCACCAGGAGTTTTGAATATCTCACTTTCCTTTTTAATAAAATTCCTGCTTGCTTGCTTACTTACCTCAGCGGCATTGGAGGTGTTCATTTTTCAGCTCCATGGAGCAAGAACCCAATCCTGACTCGTTCAAGTAACACTAAGAGAGGAGTTTGGCTGACTAGGTCACAGTCTACCCACTGCAGGGCCCAGGAGCACAGAGGAAGGCTAACCTGCCCTCTTCRGCCTGGAGAAGGAGGCAGGCACTGTCTCCCTAAGACCACACATAAAGGAGTTTTAGCAATTTTCCTTTTGAAAAATTTAGGGTACTGTCCGGAATTAGGGTGGACCTACAAAGTAAAGACCACAAATGAGTTCTATAATGTGGAGATGAAATAGAGGGTAATGGACTCTCGTGGCTCACCTTGCCTATCTTTTCGCTAGAGCTAAATCTTGGAGGTATTCAGTTTTTGTTTTTTAAAGAGAAAAAGAGAAAGCCTCTTAAGATAGGCCTAGTTCCTAAAATTGTCATTTGTTCTGTGATCTTTTAATCTTTGTAAAAACAAACAAGCAAACTATTATGGTTTGGATGTGAGGTGTCCCCCCAAAAGTTCATGTCTGAGGCAATGCAAGAAGCTTGAGAGGAGAAATGATTGGGTTATGAGAGCCAATCAGTGGATTAATCTCCTGATGTGATTAACAAATGATATCTGAAGGTAGGTAGGAGGTGAGTTCCTGGGAGTGTGACTTTGGGGTAKATATTTTGTATCTGATGAGTGGAGTCTCTCTGCTTTCTGATCATGTGATCCACTTCTCTCTACCATACTCGTCCAGGCCATATACTTCCACCATGATGTTCATTCGGGCTCACCTGGAGCCCTTAGGAATGGAGCCAGCTGCCTGAGACCTCTGAAACTGAGCTCCCAAATAAATTTTTCCTCCTCTAATGGTTCTTGTCAGGTCTTTTAGTCACAGCAGCAAAAAAAAAAAAAAAAAAAAAAAAGCTGACTAAAACACAAATAAAATAAAGCAATATAAAACACTAAATAATGTATACCCTTCATACTGACACTGTCAACAAAAAAAAATTGGTCACTATTACAGAATAGCCCAATTTTTATTACTGCATGAAAATAAATTTTGTATTTTGAAAATTGTTAAGAATTTGTGTGTSCATGGKGGAGAATATCGGGGATTGAACCCAAGAGCACTAAACTAGTGAGTCACATCCCCAGTCCTTTTTGTTTTTTGAGACAGGAAATCGCTAAGCTGCTGAGGACCAAAGTTGCTAAGGTTGGCTTTGAACTTGCAATCCTGCCTCAGGAAAAAATGCTAGCAATAAAAAACTAATAAAGTATATTTTCCCTGCCTTTCCTACATGACTTTATCCCTAGGTAAGCAAATAGTACGTAACAGGAAAATTAAAGAAGTATTCTGGCAGAAAAGAAATGATAGATTTAGAATCACTGTTTTGCAAGCCCATTTGGATCTATATGTTGTAATATGTCAACAGCCACCAATATCACAAAATAAGAGATGGGTAGGTATTAGGTATCTTAGGGAAGAACACACATCCAAATGAAGTGATGTTTCCAAAAATAATGAACCTGAACCTAATCAAGCCTATAGATTCAACTAGCAATTTATAGGAACTACAGAAGAGAGGAACAAGTTCAACTGTATCACAAAGATACAAACAGCAAAATCTATACTGTCGAAAGTCCTACAACTTGGTGTCTTCAACAACTAGCATGAAGTGAAAGAGAACCTATAAAAGACAGCACAAAATCCAATCATAATGTGTGGCTGTTGCTCGGGACCTGATACAAACAAAACAGCCTTATTAGACCATGAGAAATTTGGACACTGGGTATTTGACTCTAAGGAATTACTGTTAATTTAGGTATAATAGTTTTGTGGTTATATTAATGTTATAAATTGAAATATTTCCTGTAGAAATGATGTCTAGAATTTCTTTCAAAATACCTTTGGGGGGAAAATGGGTGAAAAAAATGTGGATGGAGTAAGATTAACCCTGAGTATATTATTGAAGCTAGATGACGGGGARATAGGATTATAGTATATATTTTTATTTACTTTAGATAATTGAAAATTTTCATTTTAAGTATTAAAAGACCAAATGTGTACTATTTATTTCGTGTGCCTTATCAGTTTCCTCTGTCATCCCTAAAACTACAATACTATGGTGCCTTTGAAACTGTGTATAGAATAGAGCAAAAGTCACAGCCTGCTTGACCAGGTCTCTGCAGTCTCTCATGATCTGGCAGAACATCAGTAGTTAAGGTCAGCCCTGGTTCCCCTAAGATCAAAATAGATATTTTTTTGGTTACAACACCCTTGACAACTAATTAAGGTAACTAAAATATCTCAATAAAATATAATATTCTGTAAAATAACAATAATGCTAAAAATTAAATTTAGCACTTGTACACCATTATAATTTCTTTTTAAAGCATTACTGTTCATTGTAATGATTAGGTTTAGTGCATYAAAAGGGTATTGATAGAAACAGATTTTAAACATTAAATAAGAATCCATGAATATAGAAAGATACTTCAGAAAGAAGAAATATGGAAAACTTCGCTTTACAAAAACTTGTCAGCCAATATGAGAAGAAATAATAAAATATCAGGATTTTGCCTCTGTGTCAAAGTTCTGGGGGAACTAATTAGAACAACAACAAAAAGTTCTTGGGGAAAAGAATATCTCTCTAACTATTACTCCACAGATTATTTACTAATTACAAAAGGAAAACTATTTTTATAATGGAAAGCTGATAGCCATCACCTGTTAAATTCACCATCATCAAGTGGGACTTGTGATGTGATGCTAAGAGTATTTACTTACTGATGCCTTTGTGGACTTGTTGCCAAAAATGTTTATCCTGAATCTATACATGAGGAAGTAAGACAATACATTAACAACTGGTAAATCAACATGAAGGTTATGTGGGTGTTCTTTCAGAATTAATACAGTTGATGAAAAAAACTCATTTAGGTTTTACAAGATTTCTATGTAGGTACAGAAAACAAACAAAAAGTGTGATATATGTCTTGGTGGTAAAATTAATTCATCTTTCCAAAAATAAATAAGTGCAAAGTTAAAACAGAATTCTACCTGATCATCCACTGACCCAAAGCCATATCCCCTATGTGACCTTTATTTTGTCACAGCCATGAACAATATAGCTCTTTCCTGTCTCCATTAGGTCATGACACCAGAAAGAAGTAAAAGGACAAAGTACAGCTGACAGAGTACGTCTACTGGCTCAGAAATAAATTAAGATCTGGAGGTAAACTCTAAACTTTCAAAACTTCATCCTTCATTTTTAGAAGTTTTAAAGTCCCTTATACTTTTTGACTTGGGGTGGGAGGGGGAAACCTAGGGAAATTCTATTTGAAAAACTAACAGTATGCTCTCATTCTTTAAGGATCTACAATAAGACAAAAGCATTTATTACACAGAAAGAAATGAATTTAAATTTCAAAATCATGAACTAAACACAATGAAGAATAGCAGCATTTTTTGGTTTTCCTTTATTAAAAAAACAGCAAGTCAAAACTTGTTTTCATRTATCTGAAAAAAAACACTTATCCAGTTGTAGATTTAAGATATATCACAGAATTGTTTCATCTTTCCTAATAATGTTTTCAGATCATATTTTACATTTTTTAATATCTGCATTCAAAGGAATAATAAAATGAAGAACAGTAGGCTAAATATTTGTTCATCCTACTAAAAAGGGTAACATCCACAGCAAAGGGCAAAATTAATAAAGAGTAATAAGTCTATTATTTATATTTTGTACAGAGGCAAGAATGCAGAGGTGGTATTGGTCAAAGAGCCATACGATGCTGTGCCAAATAATTCTCAATACGTGCCAACCCCTCAATACTTCCAGATGGTAAAACCTATCAACTTCTTTGTTCTCATATGTATTAAAACGATTTTAAAGGAAATACTAAACTAATTCTCCAAGAAAAATCATAACATCTAAAAGAAAAAAAATACCTAATTGAAAAGTTTGAAGGTAACTTGAAGGGACCTGCAATTGCCTTTGAAGGAATCCAAATAATTTCTCAATGTAGACTGCAGATTAAGAAACACTAGAAAACTCAATAGCTCATACTAGTAAGAAGGGAAAGCAAGTAAAAAAAAAAGAAAGCAAGTACCCTGAAGAGTGTCTCAAAAATATGCTTCTTAGGATCCACTCTAGTCTAGTCCTCTTAGAATTTGTGAAATCCAGATCCTGACATCAAAATTTCTTCAAAATTCCTAGCTGTTACATGCATTCAGGAATGAGAATCACTGACATAAAAATAAAGAAGGTGAAAGAGGAAAAGGAGAGAAGAAGCAAAAAGATCATCGGAAAGTAAGCACTATCCAAGAGTACCACTTCCTAAATTTAAAACTTCAGATTTTCCATTCAAACTATCTCATTAATTTCATATGCCCTCTACTGGTCAGGAGGGGAATGAATATTATTTCTACAACAAGGGAACMGAAATCTCCAACTTGTAGGTAAAAGTAAACATATCTAGAAAAAATTAATTAGTGAATCTTTGTTGTTTCTATAATTTCATTGTTTATAAATAGAGCAATTGGCAAAGACAATTTTAAGTTTATCTCAATAGCCAGAGCAAGAGAGATTTCTTTAAATGTACCATCTGATTTATCTCAAGTTTTGCCAACCTTGGCACTACTAACATTTTCAACTAAATAAATTTTGGTTGCAGAGAGTAAACAATAGATGCAGAAAATTCTAGAATATTCACTGGTAATTTTTTTTTAAAGACATAGAAGACTACTGTTTTAATAAAAATTGAGTTTTAAAGTCCTTTCCCTAGTGTCTTCAGTTTGTTACATGATCATAAATTAATGTCCTATGCATTCTAGGATAGCTGTGTTCCCGGCTCCTACCCACTAGATGCCAGTAGCAACCCACCTAAAGTTGTGAAACCACAAATGTCTCTAAATATTGATGAATGTTTTAAATCAATGATTATTTAAAAGATTTTCTGAAAAAAAACTAATCAAAACATTTTAGAATTAGTGAAAAATGACCCATGCACTAATGTTCTAAAAATCTTTAATTTTTATATAGCAGGTTCATAAAGAATATTTTATAAGAAGAGTAATCATGGTAAAAATTGCTTAAAAAAATTATTATGAAATTTGTTCAGGGACGCATAACATGTATAAAAATGAGTCTTACTTCCTTTAAAGAGTGTTGCTTGCTCATATATCAAATACATATTAAATCCATGAAGTACATGAATTCAATCTACATTTGCTGGTTGCTTTAATTTTTCACTCAAAGACAAAATCAAAACCCCTGAAATTAAAATTTTTCATCATAAAAGATCTCATGGCTGTAATTCTAAAATACCATCAATGTAACAAATATTCTTCTCACAGACTATAATGAAACATGATAAATATCTTCTATACTCAATTTGAAGTGCTATCATTGAAATTAATTACAAATGTTTATTCTGAAAGATGTTGCTATGAAGTTGGTAGATTGAAATATTGAYACTGGTTATTTTAAAAAATTAAACTTATAGAATATCTAGAAAGTAAGTTAAATTAGAACCTGTTGACAATTTATAATATTCCTGAAAAATAATTTTGAATGACAAATAATGCTATGGTTTTACTATAAATTAGGAACTTTAAAATCATCTTCCTTTAGTGCTTTCAACTGTCACACGGTCATAAATCAAAGACACGATAATTTCAAATAATCATGATACTATTTAGACAGAATCTCATGTGTCAGTACTTTTAATATTGTATACATTGAATTATAACAAAAACCAACTATAACAAGATATAGCCCCTCTGATCCATGAACAGCACACTATCTTACAGTAAACCAAGTTTATATTCCACCATTAAATGTGGTTCGCCCATTAGTTCACTTTGAGATGGATCTGAAAGCAAACAAAAACAAACATTTAAAAATGTTATCGAAAAAAGATAAATTCAATTATTTCACTCTCATGAAAATCAAGAACAGTCAAAACTAATTCAAAGTGACAGAAAACAGAACAGTGGTTGCCTGGGGTCAAGGTTCGGTGACCAAGGGACCAAGGTAACTTTTTAGGGTAATGAAAACATTCTATAGCCTGATTGGGGGACCCTAGCTGTATGCACTTATTAAAATCCATAGGACTGTACACTTAAAAACAGGTGCATGTGATGGCATGTCAAGTACATCTCAATATAGCTGATTTAAAAATAAAAAAACAGGTTGAAAAGTTCTCCTTTTCAAGATTCTTAAAAAAGAATTGCCATTCAGTATAACCAATGTCGAAGTTTCCTTAGTGGACTACCTAAGAGACTGAAAATTATTGTATCACATCAGTTCAGCAGTCAATACTCTCCACAACCTGTCACGTCACAAAAGCAGCCTTAGTAACAACTGACAATGCCCCGATTATTAGTAATAAACTGCTGTATACATAGCAAGCATTCAAAATATAAAACTTGAAACCTGCACAAGAGTATAAAGCATAGTTTTGTGTTAATGAATGAGGAAAAAAATAAGAACCATATATATGTTTGAGAGAAATACACAATATATCTTGAAGTATACTTCAAGATACACATAGTATGATACTAACTGTATTAAAAAAAGAAAAAAAAAAGATAAACACAAAGCAATGCCAAGTATTTTCTGACTATATATTTCTAAGTAGACACCGGGAAAAACTCTAAAAGGATACAGTAACTAAAACAACAGGTAACTAAGGAATGAGGCAAAGAAATGGGATCTGGATAAACATGAAAAATCTGAGTTTCAGAGGAAAAGCTTTAAATTCTTGAGCAGAGAACATTCATTTATTTAACCACAACTTTCTTTTTTTTTAAGTTCTATAAAAGTGTTAGTTCTTTATTATTATTATTATTTTTATTAGTTGTTCAAAACATTACATAGTTCTCGACATATCATATTTCATACATTTGATTCAAGTGGGTTATGAACTCCCATTTTTACCCCATATACAGATTGCAGAACCACATCGGTTACACATCCACGTTTTTACACACTGCCATACTAGTGTCTGTTGCATTCTGTTGCCTTTCCTATCCTCTACTATCCCCCCTCCCCTCCCCTCCCTCCCATCCACAACTTTCTTTTAAACTTTACTTACTTTAAACTTGTGACTTTCTTTACAAAGAATGAGCTATCACTTGCACACTATGAAAACAAGGTATACAAGGTGATTCTAGCAGTTTTATCCTATGAGCTCACTTGTAAGTCTGAGGAAGGACCAAAACTCCCCATGAGCCTCAGTTTACTCATCTTAAAGTGAAAGGGACTAGAGTGAATGAAAGGCACTTTCTGGCACTAAGATAAAGCCTACTTTTGACTTTACTAGCACCCTCCTGATAAAATGTAGAGAATTTTCTTGGAGCACTTCACTGAGGAATAAACAAAAATTTCATCATCTCTAATACTCTAATAGACTTCACACAGTGCTTAGATTAATAAACTACTTCCTCATTGTAGACCTAAAATTATATTCTAAGTCAGAATTGATGATGAGAATGWGGTGCATATGGAAGAGCTTTAAACACTTACTATGGAACAAGTACTTTACAAATACAAAAGAAAAATATCAAGGAAGTACTATACAAATTGTTAATATATGGTGAGATGACAAAGACTTTAGGTAGTCAAGGAAAACCTCTCTGAAGAAGTGACATTAAAAATGAAAAAAAAAAAAATCTGAAAAATGAGGAGAAAAAATATTCTAAGCAGAAGGAAGAGCTAATGCAAGGTTCTAAGTTCTAAGTTACCTGTATCTTATAGTTACCACAAAAGGGAAACCACTCCAAGGGCAATGTAGTAGTCTCATTGTGATAAAAATCATCTACCTCAATCAAGGAGGGATCTTTCCAGCTTAACATCTRCCTTAGACAGATGCAAGGAATGAATTAAGTGAGATGCCCACCAGACAGTTAATGACCTTTTTAAACATGAAATTATATCACAATTCACCTCTGCTTAAAACCATTCAATGGCTTTGAGCTGCAATCTAAATAAACTCCAGACTTCTGTTTATGGTCTGTAGGCCTTGGCTTACCTATTCCCTCTCTAGGTCAAAGACCTTGCCTTATTCCTCTCTATTTTGCTCAAAAACACTTCAGTCATGAGATTCTTCTTACAGAGCTCTCAAGTGTGCTAGRAAACAATTCTCAATTGGTCTCTCACAACTCTGCAATCCCTGGGAGCACAGATATTGCCATTGCTCTGGACTCTTCAAGGCTGTTTCTAAAGTGAAGCACAGGAGCACAGAGGAGCACAGAACGGGCAGATTTATTGTCCATTCTAAGATTCAGGTACTCTGAATATGGAGTTCTTCTCCAGAAATAAAATACATGATTTATATAGACTGCCTGACCCTCTCTTTTCATGTTTCCCTGTGGGAAGTGGGAAACCAACAGAAATGCTGATACTCGACTACCACTATTGCTACGAGTAATAAATTGTCCTTTGTTTCCAGGAGTCTGGTGTRTTCTGCCAGTGACCATKAAACCATGGCAGGCTAACTTGTTAGCTTGTAAGTAGTCAAAATCTCAAACCCTTCAAAGACCCTGGACATATTATTTCTTTTGCCTAAAGTCTTTCCTCTCCTTTTAACTCAACTAATCCATATATCTTTCAGAATTAACTTGTGTGTCATAGTCCCAGAATTTATCACAATTTCTAATTATATGCCAGTTTTTTCTGCTTAACATTTGCCTCCTCCGTTAGGAAGAAGATATCTATTTTGTTCACCATTGTATATTGAGCATAGCCCAATGCCTGACATATATTCAATTGACTGAATAAATCTTAAGTTCTTCTTCCTTTCTTTGTACACAATTACAGAAGCAGATTTTCAAATGAATGTATTTTTGTAACTAAACAAAAGTTAATATACAGACCTACCACCATACTAGTTTCAAATAAACTTAAGAATCCAGGTTTCCTGAATTCAAAAAGTTCCCTCAGGGAAGATTCTCAAAGAGGCTCACTAGACTTCTGTTGTGTCCACAGCATTTCCTTACCGGACATAAACAGCCAAGCAAAACTGTTTTTCTGTTTCTTCTATACTGCTGGGGCTTAAAGAGCAGAGGCAGTACTGCACAAGATTCTATTTGTTTATCTTCCTCAGGACCAGAAAAAAATAGAAAATATTCCTCACACTGTTCTTAGTAAAGTCATTAATCTCACTTGTAATACAATCATTTAGGAAATTTTGTTAAGAATGACACTCTCCTCACCACCTAATGAAACACAAACTAGTTATATCCCACAAATGCTATGAAAACTGAAACAACTATCATTGTTTAAGCCATCAAAGGATTACTGTATGACACAAACACAGCAGACTTGATTCTCAGGACACAGAATGTTTATCTTGACTGAAATGGTTATAACCACTATAATCACAAAATTCACGTGAATAAATTCACTTTAAAACTATTTAAGGACAGTTATTACCATTAAATTTTACCTTCCTGCTGTGAATAAGAACAAGTGAATTCAACTGATGTAAACTCTATGAACACGAAGGATACTGTTTTGTTTGCTGTTGTCAGCTTGTATATTACAGAGCTCCACAAAAAGATGCTGAATGACACTTACCATTAAGAATATCTTCAAATCCAATGGTCTCATCATTACCCCTCAAAATATCCAGAGAAAGATTTGAGCTTGAAAGAAATGGAAGACGCTGAACCTTTGGGAAAAGCAGGAAAGAGCAAAATTAGGAGAAAAACAAGGGAAAAAGCCAAAATGTATTATTTGATTTCATATTCTTCACTCTTTATTTGAAAAGTTCACAAAACTAAGTAAAGTAGCAAATTTAACCAGTGAGGGTGGGGAAAAAAAAAAAAAACACTTCATGTTTTAGTACAAACCAAGTTCTTAAAAATTCCTCAGAGCTCTTTTCAAAATATGTCAAGATATGGAAATTGTAGCTTATATTAAYACTTTATCCCATCAGGTTTACACATTTTGAAGTGTGGTTAGTGTCCAGAAAAACTACAGCATGTCTGACAAGAGGAGTAATCCCAGAGCTTAACACCTTGCCTTGTTCCTGATACATATGGGATGATCACATTCCTGAACAAATTCCAATTCAAAAAAATAATAATTTTATATTATTATATGAAATAATATAAAATGAATCCAATTCTTTTATATTATTCCATATAAAATGAAATAATGCTAAATGAATTATTCATTTTATATGTTGTTTTGTACAACTCATAGTACAAATATTAGGTATATACCTTTCAAATAGCGGTGGTAACCAGAAATGTCAACCAAAGTCATTTGTGAAGCTTTTCAAAATATGATGTCTTTCTGAACCAATGTGATCTCTTTTWTTGTAAGTATTAAATACATATACCATAGACTGGTACCTAAGTACAATATAATGGAGAAAGCTTGGAGGCAGAATGCCATTGATTCAAATTCTGATTTTATCACCTAAGCAATCATATAGCTTTGTGCAAGTTATCTGACCCATTCCAGCCTCAGTTTTCTCATTCAAAACTTAACAAACTTTAATGTAGCCAAAACAAATTTTCAGTCTTTGTTCTTGTTAGTTGTCCAGCACTTGTAACTGATCAGTGCAGATATTTTTGGATATTGCCAAAAGACTACCAAAAGAGTAATAGGC